GACGGCCGTCAACTGCTGTCACTGAAGAAAACATCGACAAAGTTCACGATTTGGTATTAGCAGATCGCCGTTTGAAAACGCGTGAGATAGCTGAGACAACAGGCATCTCTGTCGACCGAGTGCACCACATCCTAACCGAAGATTTGGGTATGACGAAGGTCTCAGCAAGGTGGATGCCGCATTTGCTGACCGACGAGCAAAAACGTGTTCGCACTTTGATGTCAAAGGAGTGTTTGGACTTCTAACAGAAAAACCCACAGGATTTCTTGCGTCGGTTTGTGACTACTGACGAAACGTGGATCCATTACTGAAACAAAAGAACAGTCGAAGCAATGGAAACACTACAGTTCGCTACTACCAAAGAAGGCAAAGACAGTTCCATCAGCGGGTAAAGTGATGGCCTCGGTTTTTTTGGGATGCTAAAGGCATCATCTTTATTGACTACCTAGAAAGAGGAAAGACCATTAATGCTGTCTATTACTGTGAACTTTTGGAAAAACTGAAGAAAGAAATCGAAGAAAAGAGGCCGCACTTGAAGAAGAAAAAAGTTCTGTTCCACCACGATAATGCACCTGCACATTCCGCCAGAATCACTGAACAAAAGATAAACGAACTTTGCTTCCAATTAGTTCCACATCCACGTACTCACCTGATTTGGCCCCCAGTGATTTCCACCTTTTTCCAAACCTAAAAAAATTCTTGGCTGGAAAGAGATTCCACTCAAATGACGAAGTTATCTCTGAAGTGAACGAGTATTTTGCACACCTTGACAAATCGACCTATTGTGATGGCATAAAAAAGCTAGAACATCGCTGGAATAAGTGTATTGCTAACAGAGGAGATTACATTGAAAAATAAAAAAAGTTTTAACATTATTTTGTTTGTTTTTCTATGTGAGGCCGCGAACTTTCCGAATAGCCCTCGTAATGTTAAATCGCTTATCTTTCATTTAAATGCTCTTTAAATCCAGTATTATGTTAATACAGTACTAGTTTCAGTTTTGAGTCTCGTATGCGCTATTTCTTTAAAGTCATAATTTCTTTCAGGACTGAAAGAAAGTCCTGTAGTCGTAAGGATCATTCTCTGGATCCATATCATTGGGAAAATTAAGAAGTCTTAATTAATGTACAGTATACAAGTATTCATTATACAGGTATACCTCGCCTTACGTCGGTAATTGGTTCCAGGAAAACGACTTAAGTCGAAAAACGACGTAAGTCGAATTTACTTGTCTCCAAATCTNCATTTACCTCTTTTATTTCTAACAAGGTCGCATCCCTGTTCACTTCGAGCTGAATCAACAGACTGTTGGGTAAGAACACATCGATTTTCACTTGGTTTTGGTCGATTTGATGAGACCAAACGTCTAATATTACAGAAGTTGGTGCCATGTTACGTTGACAAGTGCAGCACCTCTCTATCCATCCGCTCTCTCTCACACCCGGAATCAGGTGTTACTCAACTTCCTATTTCCGTCTGTTTTACTTCCTTTACGAGAGATGGCACAGCATTCGATTTTCTACTCCACGAAATTAATCGAAGTTTCTACTTAAATAAAATCGATAAGATAGAAATTTCATATTTTTAAATAAAAAGACAAGAGAATTTTTAAGTTAAGTCACGTGTTTGCCTTGTATTAAAAAACACTTGCAATTTATTCTAAGAATGCTTTTTCGTCACGTGATCTTGCACGCTACGTAAGTTGTGTGTACATGATTTTACGATAATTGGTCATTCTGTAATTTAAATAATAATAAAAATATGTATTATATAAATAAATTTATTTATTAAACAAATGTAATTAGAACAATTGTCGTAAATATTATAAGTTAGAAGAATATATACAGTATATATATTTATATACAGTACTGTACTTACAAGGAAACGAAAAAGCTGTCTCTCTACTTTCAGGGTCGTTCGTCAGTAACAAATAAAACTACAATTTTCTTATATTTTGTCGGGTAATTTTGTTATTTTCTTAGTTTAATGTATTGTTTCTAGATTAATATTTTGCATGAATCATTCAAACAGATAAACACGTTAGCAATTTGATAAAATAAAATGGTTTCTAACAGCAGAAAAACTAAATTAAAAAGCATTTCTTTGAGGAAAAAATGCTGCAATTTTAAATTGCTTGACGTCTCATTCACTCAGCGAATCATTTGTTTTTTTTTTTTTACTAACCAAATTTGTTTACAGTAAAAAAAAATTAAATAATAAAAAAATAATAACGTTCCGCTTCGTTATTTTTTTTTACAGAAAATTTACGATTCATTATTTATTCTAACTTATATACTATAAATTGCTTATACACTATGATTTTGCTGTGTATTGTTCTATGTAATAGAATGTGATCCGGGTCATTTTGAAAAAGGTCACAAACAAGGTTTACTATCGAGATTATAGTAGACTCTTAGTGTAATTACTGTTTCCTGAACAATGCATATAATAGAAAATAATCAATTATCTACATAAATAATACGAAAATAGTATTGAATTAAATAAACAAAAGGTTGTTATTATTATTATTATTTTCTTTCTAATTAATTTATTGCGTGTTTTCGTCGATAAAATTGAATTTTTTGAGTTAATTATTATAATAACTCTGTAATTTTTTGAAAATAATTTAACAATAGATAGTTTTTGTTTACAGTAAAACCTGCCCAAAACGGAATCTGGATACAACGGAAAACTTTCTATCAATAATTCTATTTAAAAACCTGTTCGAGACGGAAACCTGTCAAACCGGAAAAATATTTGATACAGTGCGGTTCTTATTTACACAGGTTTTACTATACATAGCGAATTCTTTCGTATAATAATATTTAAGATAATAGAAACTATTTGTGATAAAAATGATAATATAATAATATTATTATACAGATATTTATTGTTTATTTTAAAAATGAATCCAAACTACGCTTTACGTAGATCAATGGGCTGGTCACGTGGAGTTTTCTTTACGTTTGTAACACCTAAATAGAATCAGTTGTTTTTTATAAAAGTCCTCTCGTGATGAACCTCCACGTGTCACATTGCCTATACAAATAGATCAAACAAAATCCTTAATGGACTTGCCAAAATAGGCCCATTTTAGTGTCCACAGGGAGAAAAGAGTTTTAAAAAATCCATTGATTACACTAGTCAACACGACATTTTCTTATATTTTATTAGGGTGTTTTTAATGTTGATTATTCAATTAATTTCAACGTGTTTGAACATGTCTAGACTTATTATATTGCGTTATACAATTGAAACTCGCCCATTTTAGCTTGGAAACGAACGAAAATATGATATTAATTCGATATAAAAAGTACGGTTGGGATGTCAGTGCTAATCTCTAAATAGCTGTTCTACTTGGTTTACAATACATAAAATTACTACTGTTCTTTTTACGAATGAGAACCAAGAGCTTTGCACTATATTGTCAAGAATTGGCCACTCAGAAAGCAATATGTATACCGGGAGAACCAGGGTCACGGAGTTTCTGTGGGCCCCCAAATTAATCTGTTAATGAGAGACGAATAATTTGAAAGTCCATAAATGACAAAGAACTTGCAGCATGGAGTAGTTCTAAAAGCACTAGCGCAAAACTTTCTAGGGAATAGATCTACGAAGATATTGATTAGGTACCAATGTGAGTTTGAAAATAAGGACGGGTTTATTGCCCGACAATGTTCGTGTAGAAAGTGAACACCAGGCAACACTTTCCTCAAACAATCTGCCACGTGATGGATGTCGCTTCATCGATTTTGACGTCACAAAACAGTCAACAATCCATGTTGGACAGCAAAATCATGTAGTGTTTCCTCAGCTTAAGTTTTCTTTCGTCCGAATCTTGGTGAGTTCAGAGATGTCTTCCATCAATATGTATAGAGGTAGGAGTGACTGACTGGGGGTTGATGCTATTAAATTTTGGTGATTAAAAGTTGAGGTGTAGGGAAACAAAAAAAGGAGGTCGTGTATATCTCCAGTAGGATCGGATTTAATGATGATTTACTCGTTATTAGCATTTACAAAAATGGACAATTTGCGTACCGAAAACCGCAAATTGTCCATTTTTTCAATGTAGTTCTATAGCTTATTTGCGTGATTACACTAAAAGCACACAATTCAAGATTTTGTTTCAGGCAAGGCACTTTGCATTTTGAATGATTTTCCTTTAAATTTTTCAGGGGTTGGTTGGAGCAATCGCGATGTAACAGCGCCAATGTATTCGTATTTCTAAAACATTATGGTGGCATTTTAGTATCCAGGTTGTTCTTGCTGGCGTAAATACGATGAATTAAGTTTCGTACATACGACATACCGTTTTTTTATACACAAAAAGGGATATACGCGCTCCTTTCTCCTTTCTTTTTCTGTATGATTGGCTTGTGGTTCTGATGAAATTTCAAGATGGATCAAAACACTATTGAGTTATATCGATTGATGTATCTGAATTATTATACAACAGCTTCAATAAAAAGAAAGTTTATATTTAAATCTAACGAAAACTTATATCAAGGTAAAATTATTACTAAATGTTACATTATAAACTATTACTAAATAGTAACTAAAATAGCGACGTCCAAAATTAAATTATTAATACCTCAAAAATAATAAATGAAACACTGCAGTCATGCCGAGACCAGTTAGAGTGTTACGTATGCCATTTACATAAGTAACATAGTAATTAACATATGTTATAATATACTATGCCACCGATTTAATGTGGAGAACATACGTTCACTATGTCAGCTGCATCGCAAAAAGTTTTGTTGTCGGATATTTTTCCATTTCGTCGTCGAGTACGGGCATTCTCAGTACACATCGAGTTTCTAATTGTTTATTTGTAATGTCGACCCTTGCCACGTATAATAAAAAATGATACCATAGATTTTAATTGAAGTTAATTGAAGAAATTAGAATATATACATGTCTATGGAAGAAACCACTAGAAGAATACCGGAATAAAAATATTAGAGACAATACTTGCACCTACTTTCTTTTCCGTTTGTTATTATCGCTATACAATGAAAGCAGCAGCAGATCGTCAGAATCATCACTACTCTCTCGGGGCACATAGCATAGTGCCCCGAGAGAGCACTATGCTATGTGCACTATGGAATATACTATATTCCATAGCATATTCCATAGCATAGCGCTTTTTCTGATCCCGGTATTAATCACACGAGTGTCATATGTTTCGTTAGGAAGATTACAATAATTCGATCATCGCTAAATATACACAGTTTCATTTACAGATGGGACTAGTCTCACTAATATACCAAATGCTGCTCACTCTGTTTTTTTTTTTTCCATTGGGTATGTGTGTGAAATTGCATGCGAAACGTCAGGTTTCGATAGCCTCACCAAGCCTTGGCCTCATGTTTCACACGCTCGCCATCTTTTGATCGACAAAGTATTAAGACCATGACTTGCGAGTTTTCTTGATCTATTAGATATACTCAATTAGAATTTTCAATTTCGTGAAAAAAGTTTATTCTTTAGGAAGGGTAGGCTTAATCTCAAAAACCCCTTAAGCTACATTTAAGTCGAAGCATGTATATGGTAATACGTAAAACTTATTCTTAAATTCGTCGTTCGATGATATCAGCGCCCTCCAGTAACGGTTGCGTAGACTCACTCATTGCCAGCGTAGCCTGCGTCATACTAAAGGCCTGTGCATCTGGCTTGGCATTTATTAGAGAGGTTGCGGCCGAAGTTCGAATGTTAAACTTATACGGCAAGCAGAAGTACACGTTTGATGTCGCGCCACACGTTCACGTCGCGCACTGACTCATGGGATATTGTTGAAAAATGGCGGAAACGTTTAACAACGACGAATGTTACCAGCGAAGGTAAATAAAAAATTAAACTATTTTAAAGTATTTATAGGATGTTTAATAACACTAAATAATTATTTTTAATTAGAGTCGTGTCTCTTACCGTACGATAGGACTACCTCATACTTTTGTTGAGGGAGTAGTGGCAGGTGACTTATGTAAATCCGAAAGCAACTCGGGAAATTATTTTTAGAAAATTTACAAACGTATTACGCTGTTGATTGTAGAAGATGCCGTGAAACAACAAACCTACTCTTACAGAATTATGATAAGCTATTATGAACACAAATATATGTAAATTCTATAGGCACTTCACATCACTTGCAAAAAAAATTGGATAATTAAATCATTTCTGGATTAAAATCGTCTGTTTCTTTACAATATTATTCGTAAATGCTTAATAATCATTATTTTAATAAAGTACGTCATCATTTTAACCCCAAACACAAAAATAATGAAGTTTAAGTCAAACTTCTACTCGCTATGCTAGACGTAGCGAACACCATTATCAACCTTCTAGAATTGCCAGATGGCGGCGCTCGAACGTCCGACGTTCACGTTTTAGGCTGAAAACGTCGGCTGCAATCTCTCTATTGTCTACAGCATTCGCACTCAGTTTCGGATTTTCTCCGACAGAGGTCGCCAATTTGACCTGTCGAGTGTAGCATTGTATGTTTTCAATGGAAAAACTATTACTTTTAGAAAATAAAGCAACATATTTTTTAAATTAAAAATAGTCAATTTGAATAAATTGTAGTTATTATTATTACACGTATTCGTAAAAAAATTCTTACGAATTTACTAAAAATCAATGATATCTAAATTATTTGCCGACACGCCCACCGATTCATTATATTATATTATATATAAAGGATTTAACTGACAAATAATATTTAAGTTACAATTTAATAAAGATTTTTAATGTCTCCTTACACGAATGGCAAATAATCGAAGAATATTTAGAAGTAATATTTAGTTTATATTAGTGTTGTAACGAATAGTATATTCGGCCTCAGGCCGAATACCGAATATTCGGCCAAAAGCGTGGCCGAATAGCCGAATATTCGGCCAAACTATTCCCGGCTCGATTAACGCACGTACGAAAATTGGCGCGCAAACCGCATTATGGCAAGGATCCTGCTCTCTATTGGCCCGCTGTC